TTTGGAACGTTGGGTGACAACCACAAGAGTAGGTATTAGTATGATAGCTACACCTAATAGGGATGCGATCGACCAGAAACACTAAAATACATAATAAGCAAGAAAATATTAGAATAGCAAGTTTCAGAAAGTTTAACCTTTTTATGCTTCACTTCCAGTTGAAACATGTTAAAATCTTTACAATAAAGAAAGAAACAAACACAATATATTATTTTCTTTTGTTCGTTTTATATTCTATTTATGCACGTCAGTTAGGTATTAATATTGAAAAAAATGTTAATACTTTGATATTTGTATTGAAATAAAACCAAATATCAGCGCATTGTTTTACATTATCAAGGCTGTCGCGAACAGGAGGACGAGGTATTTGTAAAAGACGCGAACACACGAACATCGAAAATGTTTGAATATGAAAGTGATTTCGAATGCACACTTTTTTGACCATACAAACAGTCGTATATTCTATCAGTAAGTAGACCGACGCGACTTAGACACATATCCACAACATTAGACGTGTATATACTAGTCATAGAAAAATAGAAGGAATGTACAACATGACGAAGAAAATTGGTCAAACACTGGTTGACAAACAATATTTCCATTGTTATTTCCGGCTATCAGATCATTATGAGCGAAAAAGCTTAATCAAGTAAGGTATATGACAAGAAATAAATTGTTTTCATCGATCAGCATTCAATGAGCCACGATCAATATCAATCGAAATGCATAACGATTAAAGTCGAGAAGTATTATTTGAAGTAAAAATTTCAAAGTCGTCAAGCAAGATGTACCAATGGCTGGTGGAGATATAAGTCGAATCGAGTGGGCAACAGCAATAGTTCCATTGATAGGCTTTGACTGGATATGCGCTAATCAGTAATATGGGCATTATAGTGTATGTCTGATTTGCAGTGATACTCTCAATCACATGCGCCCTGATACCCTGATGTAATGAAATGAAGAGGACACACGTGAATATGCGTGACATAGCTCAAATCAACAACAACAGTCACAGACATATACTCAATGTTTGAAGGTTAATATGAGAATATTGATTTAATCCCATATTTCATCTAATTTCCTATGAAAGAGGAAACATTTCAAGTCAACGTATATAGAACGAAATACTTGCAAGACAAGACGTGCAAGTTACTTTTACTTAATATTTTCGAACATTGAAGATTTATTTTAATTGCTGTCGCAAAATACAATTGATTGACTTTTTAATGCATTGTGGGACGAAAAGTATTATGAATAGAACAAACAATATCAAATTCTTTGAGTATTTTTTTTTTGAAAATATGCAAATTTTAAAGTTTTCTATTCTTTCTCTTTCTCTTTCTCTTCAATTTTACCAGAGAAAATAATAAAAAAATTTCTGCTATTAAGTAGTGAAAAGTGTCGGAAGTTCACAAGAAAACGATGATTAAATTCAAAATTAACATGATTGATTCGTAAAAAGAATACATCTTCAAGATTTTTAAGAACAACTGTTATATAGCTTTGGTAAAACTAACTGTTGATTCCACCGAGTAAATTAATCATTTATGAATAATACATCAATCAATGAAGTATTTTGAATGATGTATAGTATATTAAGATGAAAATATATTACGTTGTATCTAAAGACATATCAATACAAAGTTTATAACTTTTTAACTGAATACACCAAATGAAATGGATAAGAATAATTTTATATTCTGTTTGTAAGGAATATAATTGCGAGAACAAAAATGATCATCATATCTACGATTATTTATTTATAACTATAGAAAACACCATCCATGTTGCACGTCTGTTCGCATTACCATCGGTATACCACGGTACACATAAAAACCAAGTATAACGTTTACGATTTTCGGTTTCAGCTATAAACGGTTACACAGAGCGTTCTTTACTCTAGTTTGAATTATTTATTAAAAATAACTCAAATTAACCGAGAAGAAAATAGTTTCAGAATATATTTTGCTAATAAAAATTTCTCTTATAACTGAGACTTATTTGGGTACTGTGCCAGATGCAGGCAGTTCAGACGCATTTATGCTATTAGAGAGCAACAAGATCGATTCAGTCTTGTTATTTTTAACACACTTAAAAAATATTCACCCGTTTTGACGCAATACACTATGATACAATCTGTTCAAGAAAAATCGTTGGTAGTTTCTCGGTAGTAATTATATGGGCATCGATTAAGACAAAATAGTGATAAAAGTCTACCATCAAATACCTTGGTTATTCTCTTCAACCTAAACTAAAGTGATGACTTTTGATACAAATTAAGATCGTTCAATTTCATCAGACAAATATACATTTATAGTATTATTGTATATTTTGTCATGATCAATTAGAATGAGATTGCTTGATAGAATATGTATTATAATACGTAGAAAGGAGAAAAGTTTTAGTGATCTTTTAATAATGATATAAGTTTTACATAGATATTGATGAAAAAATATCAAAAGTTTTTTTCGTTTACTTCTAAAAGATCTATGAATCATTATTGGAAATATTTCATCTCTTCACGAAATGTGTATATACTTTGATTGAGAATTGTGTTGTTGTAGCATATCGATAGTTGTGAATTTATTATGCATTTCTTATTGACACATCAGATTTTAATGAAGTTCATGATTCGCAACTCTCACTTTCTATGAATGGCTACCAATAATTAAAAAATAAAACAATTCTTTGATTCAAATATTATTCAAAATGAAACCTAATCAGTTATAGTCTCCTTCAAATAATAATCAAAGTAATCAATAGTTGACAAGACATACCTTTTCTTTTTTTTGTTTAGACAAAAGTTGTGTTGATTTCGAAATTCGAATAGTTACATTTTTTTTTTGTGAATTTTTTAATGCTCATATCTCATCAGTTTTGAAACAACTCTTAGTAAGTATATAATACGAATAGTTCAGAAATTTCGCTAATAGTTTGAAAAGTCCATCGAAGCTGAAAACTTGCCACTGCCATATCGTCATGAACTATAGCGAAAAGTTAATGCTGCCACAATAAAAGAAATATATTTTAGTTCTACGATTTCTCAGTTCGAAATTTAGGCAATATTTTTATCTGTCTTAAACTTACTGCTCGATGTTTCGTGGATTTTAGGACATCTAGCTATGAACATACTCTTTGAATACCTTTCGACAAGTGCAACAGTTCTGCCGCATCGCAGGAATTTTCGAAAAAGACTGCGAAAATCTCATCCGTCGCTGTACTCTATTAATACAATTAGAGTCAGTTCATGAAATTCACCACGGTTCTGACTGTTGGACTTGTAGACACTCATATTGGATAAAAATCCTTGCAATTATACAATCTCCCTAAAAAAAAGAAGCTGCCACTGCTACGGTAGTAGTTTTAAAACATCTCTAACGCCGTGGCAATTTTTTTAAAGCGCCGCTATGGACATATCTAGCATATAAGTACTTTACGAGACGCAAACTTCCTGAAATTTTAACCTATGTTGTCTATTTTTCATCAAAATCGACGGTTGACCGTTGTCTTTTTTTTTTATTCGTCTATTAAATTAATATTCCCAGTATTGAATATATCGGTTTCACCTCAAAAAGGTTGACTTTTATATGTCACATTATATTGTGTCAGATGGCGCCACTCTGGTCTTCATTAGTAATAATGAGATACGGTTTTTATTGAAATCTAATCATTTACTCAAAGTTTAAAAATATTCATTCACTGCGATACAAAGCAAAGGACATGCAGAAGAACCACGATAAACCGATGATTTTCGAGCAGTTTGAACGACATGGAAAACATCATGTTTTGAACACTTCCATGATGAATTGAAGTTTGAACTCTAACAGATAGACAATAGGCAGCAATTGTACTGAACTTAAATAAATTTCAAACTACATTTTGATACTCTTGCACACACGTTCATTTGATCAAAAATACACAATTCTTTGGGATACAAATAAATCATTCTTTCTAATATTTGCATAGGTAAAAGTGAGAGCAGAACCATATTCGAAGTATATCATCTAATTCTTTCGATTCCAGAAAGATATCTAGGTTTTTCCATTATTTTTTATTATGTCAATTACGGCCACTGTATGCTTCATCTGATATCTGATTGAAAAATCATCACTGCTCGAGGTTGTCTCTAATTTAAAGTATATTATATTTGTTCAAACTTGTCCGTAATATCACTACTGTAAAAATCTTGACGACAACAAACAAAATACAGAATACTACAGATATTTTCACAATTGAAATTGAATCAATTATATAAGAAAAAAATAATTTCAATCGATTAGAATATACACAAAAAAAGGGATCTATAATTTAAACAATACGATTTTAAACATTGATAGATATGGGTTCTGGTTCCAGCAACAGTTCTACTAGATGTTGTGGGAGTGTACAAGACTGGTGCCGTGATGTATGTGGTTGTTGTCCATGCCAGTGTTGCAAAACTGTCAAGATTCAACTGAAAACTAAACAGACCATTGAAAATAAAATCGAGAAAACAGAAATACCATTTGGATTTAGCTTACTTCATGCAGGTAAGTTTAAAAAACTCTTATCTTTTATGATCATAAAGAATAGATTAAAGACTCTTTTAAATTTTTTATAGTAATTAACTAAATTGAGATTAATTATGCACATAGATAAATGTTCGAGATTAATAAAATAAATAGAATCAATTCACATTTAAATCATTCTACTCGTACATATGATGTTAATTGATAAAAAATCCAATTTTTTTTTTGTTCTCATTAAATAAAATCATTTTTAAAGTTTTCAATAAAATAAGATTGATAACTCTAATTTTTCTTATTCTAAAGGTATCCGAATGACAGATAATGTATACACAAGTCCTGTTCTTGAAATACATACATGGCGAAGAGCAATGACACAAATAGCTGTCAATGAAGCTGCTACGACTCAAAGAATAGCATTAGGTGGTATACAGACTGCACGAGATACTGCTGATCATCATCTTGGACCTGCAGGTGGTGTAGAACGACGCAAATTGGAACTTGAAGAAGAAATTACTGTCATTCCAATTGAATCGATTATTTCCATAAAATCTGCAAGTGATGTTAAAAAAGGACAAACAGAATACAAAACTCTACGTCAAAAAACACCAGTAGTTATTCAACTTTCATGTTGTGAAAGAATTGTTCGATGGTGCAACAGAACATTTTGTTGTCGTTGTTGTTGTTGCGATAATTCTAATCATCAAATAAATAATGAACCAGAACAAATAATAACAACAATTTCTAATCAAGAAGCTGAACGTAAAATTTTAATAACAATAGAATATATTCGTTACAGTAATATTCATACACCATCACATATACGTGTTTTGCCAACAACTGATCAAGGTACATTTTACAAAGAACATCTTCATACAGATATTTTAAAATTTTATTTACTCGACAATATTGATTTTGAACAAATTGATTTTGATGTAAAACGAATGCAAGCTGCAACACTTTGTCGTCTTGTTACACAATTAAAATCCATGATTGGACATTATCCTAATGAACAAACACTTGAACAACTTATTAATAGACAAGGCAGTCTTGCTATTGGTGATCCACCCAAAGAAACTATTGAACGATTACTGAACCCAGGAAAAACTGTCAAAAGTTTAGAAGCACCTATATCATTAACATACATTAAAAACCAACCATAAGAAATAATAATCAAGATTTGTTTTATTTGCTGAATCATATTTCTTTTTTTTCATTTCGATATAAATTGATAAAATACAATAAGTATAACGTACTTTAAGAAATATTATTTTTAGAAAGAATGATATTTACAGTAGAAAAATGTACATGAAAAATAAACTTTTGATTTTAGTATAATTGTGCATAGTTGCTACTTAACAAATATGTTTCGGTCAATATTATAATTCTAGTTTTGTCCGGACCTAATTTGAATAGAACTTTTTTTTTAATTTTAAGAAGTTTTGTATCTATTGAATCAGTTAGAGTTCATGCTATTTTAACCTATTGATCCTGTTTTTACCTAATCCTAATTTAGAGTAGCGTAAAGTAGAAGAAAACATCTACTGCTTTTTTTCTCAATGAGCATCGTTTTGTGGTAATCAACGACTGTTGCTACTCAAACAGATGCTTCCTATGACATTTTCTTTCCTATGACTCGTAGTTAAAGCTACTAGAACAATTGAAAACTACTTAAAGAAGAAATCAAAATTAGATAATGACATCGTTCTCATCCTAACATTAATCTTTGCTCTCACCTTCGACCTCTTTCAACATTACAAGAGAAAGCATCCCAGGAGCAACTGTTTATACTACAACAATCGTATTACCGTTTCGTGAAACAACTCTCTTTAAAGTCATTGATGATGTTCCCACTTGTTCATCCACCGGCATACAGCTTACATACTTCAATCAACGGAGTATTTCTTAAATCGAGTTCAGGACAGCCGTTCATCACGAAAATTGCTCATGTGAGTGTGTGTGAGCTCAGATGGAGAAAAGATCCTCGATTACATCCGCGAGTCAATGCCCTAGAGACTTGATTGTTCGATTCTCCTTAAATTATCTATAAAAACTTGTTTGAATTATTCTATATAAACAAATTTTAAATCAACTAAATGTTCAACAGCAACAGTATTTTCTAGTTAATCATACTGACAAATCTTGATCATCATATATATTTAAAACTGAAAATGTTTATGATATATATTCCATTTCGAAGTAATTGTCTTAGTAAATAAAACACCTAAGGAATGTAGTTTCAACTTGTTCATCATAACATCATGTGAAACTATCAATCACACGAAAATTTTCATTTTATATTTAACATATGATCATGTTACAAAATGATCATTGTTATAAACAATTAATATTCGATTATGTATTAACTTCACTGAAATTGAAATTTATTCTTCTGATTTTGAATAGATTTTGTTGTTTTTCGTAGATATTTTTATTCAAATATTCGTTGATTGTTTTGAATTTCTACAAATAGTTTTTCAGCCAACTTTACAAATTCTTGTTAATAGGGAGTGAGTGAGAATGTGGAAGAAGAGAAAAACTTTATCAATCTTCATTCAAGCTTAGACTTCTCATACTCCGAATAATAACGAAACTTTATGAATTATACTATATCATTGCACATAGAGCAAATTTTCAGAACTAGTTATTGTAATAGTGAAGGGTTACAAAGTTTGCAATTTTCAAAAATGGAATACTGGTTAATGCAAGAAAGCTGGTGTCTTGATACCAAAAGCACTTCAATTTAGTACTTTACTGATGGTACACGATTTTTATCATTTAATCTTACTAGATTTTGAAAATTTGCTTTGTGTACATTAATATAGTATTATCCATAAAGTTGTTTTTGACTTCTTTTTAGTTGACTTGTTGTAATATCAAAGTAATAAAACAAAAAAAAAACACATGTTAATTGTATGAATTGAAAACAAAACAGTTTGAGCCATTTCACTGTAGAATTGTTTTGTTATGAAATTAATTACTCTTGTTGATTACTTTCAAAAATGGTTTTTCTATTTCACGGTCAATGAATGTTTGTTGAGTGGATAGAACAATTGTACTTAACTTGTGTCTTGAATTTGTCAGCATATAATGTAATTCAAAAGATTTATTATCTTTAGATTTTTCTTTCCTCATGATGCGGCTATTTCTCAGTCTTCATCGTGTACTAAAGCAAAAAAAAACATTATTTTCTGCATTTTATAACGAAAAGATTGAATGATACCTGTTAGATTTGATACCTTTAAAATCATCTTCTCTGCCCAAACGAATGTCAATTATGTGATTCAAAAGATACACATTACCAGCTGTACATTCAGCATTAAAATCTAAAAAACACCAATCATCATCACATGTTCAAACAAACTTTTCTACTAACTAATAGCAATTGAAATTCCTAAAATTTGAAAGCATAATTGAGTTGATCATCGATTGAAAAAAACTCAATAAAAATTATCACGCTCATTACCTGATTTTTCAGTAAATAGACCAATTATAAATGTAACCAATTTGTTCTACATATAAAAAATCGACACAATATAAAAGAATATTAATCATAAAGTCATACCTCTCTTCCTAAAGACAACAACATGTAATGTGTCATCAAGATGCATATATCATTTCAGTATATGAAGAAAATAAACAATAAATGTTGTAATGATGGCAATCAATATAATACTCATCCAGGTTAAATGAATCTACATATTGGCATCAAGACGACAAAATCTACTATTGAGCCAACACAAGCATCTAACATAAATACATCAACATGAAGGGCATCAATGGTTATTCATGTCGCGGATGTTCCAAAAGTCTGATGTGAAAATATATTCATTTAACTTCTTTATTGATCAAAATTAATCAGCTAATTTTATTTCATATGATAGTCATGAACGCAACGCTTTTATTGACGTAGATCAATACTGCAGATAATATGTCAATGTATAATTTTTGACTGAAATACAAATAGTCAACTCTTTCAAAATTCATTAAAAAAACTGCATATCGTTGATTTTTTTAATCATTTTTAATTTTGCTATATTTTAGCGTTTCAAATGTTCAACGCCCTTTTACGGATACTTTTTTCAAATATCTTCATAAACAGAAATCCAGCAGTAATATTCGCTGACATATTGCAAAATATGTTAATAAAACGGCCTTGGATAATTGAAAAGCCAAAATATGACAAAATTAGAAAGGATCAAAAAATAAACGCTACTTTTTTTTTAAATGAAACTTAAAAAAAACTGATTATTTGTATTTCAGTCAAAAGTTATATCTTGAAACATTATTTGCAAAAGTAATTCATGTCAAAACAACTTCACGTTCATATTCATCATATGAAATAAAATTATTTAATTAATTTTGATAAATAAAAAGTTATATGAATTTATTTTTGCACTGAGCTTTTCGGACACCCTGTACTTTTCTTTCACAGTATTAGTGATACGAAATGAAAAAGAAAAAAAAAATTATTCAGTTCTATACTATATATAACAACATGCAAACGTATTTAAAAGCGAATAATATGTGTATTAATTGGTTCTATATAAATTGCATCGTCATCAACCTTTGTATTGTTAAGATTTTGCTGTACTGGATTATTATTTACTGATCCAATATCAAATTGTGAATTGCGTGATTTTATTCGTTTTAATAGAGGGATTCTAAGTGCTTTTTTATTTGGATTTTTGGGATTGTAATGTAATTCCAAAGTTCCAGCATCCTCAGCTTCTTCTTTCGTGACACCTTGTTCTTCTAGAATTCTTTTCACTAGATCACTAACAGCTCGTGATGCGGTTACTTGCCAACTTTCACCGTGCGCTAAAGTAAAATATTTTCTTTTTTTCTTTTTGCACTTTATAACGAGAAGATTCGATTATACCTGTTATATCGAGTCCTTCAAGTTCATCTTTTTCAGCCAAACGAATACCCATTATCCAATCCAAAGGATAAAGAATACCAGCTGTACATATAGTAGCAAAAGCTAGCAACAGAATCCTCATTAGATATTAAATTCAACATTGTTTAACTTACCAATGGCAGTAAGAATGCCAGCAATTTGATACCATAATTGAATTGGTCGTCCATAAAAAGCACCATTAACGCCGTCTTTTGAGTTTACCCATTTTTCAGGAAATAAACCAGTCAAAAATGCACCTATTATACCTCCTATATAAAAACAAAAATAAAGTTTATTTCAAATCAATATTGTGGAATTTACTGCACCAACTCCATGAATAATAGCAACATCTAATGCATCATCAAAATGCATGTGATGCTTGTTTAATAGAAGAAAATAGATGATAACTGTTGGAATAAAAGCAATAAGCAATGCCCANGCCGTCTTTTGAGTTTACCCATTTTTCAGGAAATAAACCAGTCAAAAATGCACCTATTATACCTCCTATATAAAAACAAAAATAAAGTTTATTTCAAATTAATATATTAAGTTTTTTTTGTACCACATCCATGGACAATAGCAACATCTAATGCATCATCAAAATGCATGTGATGTTTGTTTAATACAAGAAAATAAACGATAGTTGTTGTAATAAAAGCCATGACCAATGCCCATCCAGGTTGAACAAATCCACATGCTGGTGTCACAGCTACAAGACCTACTATTGGACCAATACAAGAACCTGATATAGATATATGGCCACGAATAGCATCGAGGACTACCCATGTCACTAATCCAGTAGGAGCAGCTGCATTTGTATTGACTAATGCAAGAGCAGCTAAACCACTAAAATAAAAAAGAAATGAATATTTTGTATCTAGTTTTTGTGGTAATCTACTCTGCTCCATTAGCTGAACCACCATTGAACCCAGACCATCCTACCCATAATAAAAGTGTGCCCAATATTGTAAATGGAAGATTATGATCTATAGTACTATGTGGATCATAATCAGATCGTTTACCAAGAATTAATGATGCAACAAGACCAGATACACCAGATAAAATATGTACGACAGTTCCACCAGCAAAATCAAGTGTACCCAAATGTTTTAACCAGCCACTACTGCCCCACACCCAATTAGCCATTGGATCATAACAAACAGTTGTCCATATAAAAATAAATATCATATAAGGAATTAGTTTCATTCGACCAACAATTGCACCGGAAATGAGAGCTGGTGTTATAATAGCAAATGTACCGTGATATGCAGCAAATGTTAATAATGGATATGTTGGACTATAAACGTCATTATCAATTTCACCAAATCTTAATACAGCCCATTTAAATGATCCAAAACCAGCACTGATTGGAGGACCAAAAGCAAATGAAAAACCAAATAGAACCCATTGTAGAAAGACAATACCCATACAAATAAATGAAAGAAAAAGTTGATTTAAAACATTTTTTCTATCAACAAGACCACCATAGAAAAAAGCTAATGCTGGTGTCATAAGTAAAACTAATGCAGTGGATATCATCATCCAAGCATTATCACCCGTATCATGAATACTGTGGCTCGTACCATTTTCCATGGTCATATAACTGTTATAGTTCGTAAGTTTCTTTTAATGAGTTCGATGAATAAAAATGAGAACTGAAGTCACTAAATAGACTTTTTTTATATTTAAGATGAAAGAAATAGAATAGACCAATGCATGAAATTATGTGTTGACATCAATTTGAAGAAGTAAAAAATTGTTTCTCTTATTTTTACATCGATGGAGAAAAAAGGAAAAGTAAATGTACTATGAGCATTGGACCATAAATATAACTGATATACGTATGTATAAATTGTTATTTTTGCTATCGTTCAACGCCTATATCAGTCTTTGTGTGTGTGCACCCTAGTATGTACATATTTGACTTTGATTTCATGTGAATCAGAGACAATATCGTACAATAAGTTTTGTTGATAAAATGCTAAAAACAAAACAAAAAAAGAATAATGGCGAATCAATATTAGTAGTGAATCATTTTTCTCCTTTCATTTATATCTTTTATGTGAAAAACATTTTTTTATTAATAGTATTCTTCATCTATTATGCATATCTTCTTTACATTATTTTCGATGAAGGATGCATAATTAATGATGTTAATATGCGTGTATTTTTTTGCGTAGATCTTATATATCGTTCATTAAGTGAGCAAGTGTTTTTTGTTTTTCTATAACGAGCATAAAATTTCATTATAGTTTTTTTTTCTAATATTGACAACGTGATTGTATTGAGTGATTCGTGAATTTTCAATAATTAATAAATAGAAAACGTTCGCGCCATAAATGAAAAAAATATTTCCCTTCAGGAGTCTTAGATAAATAATTAAGTATTAAAAGCTGGAATTCTATATAGATATTTTGTATGTATTTTAGACAATTGAATCGAATGTCTGACGAGGGCAGGGATGGGACGAAAGGGATTTTTAAAAGAAAAGGTGTTTTCTATCACGTGTATGACTTATCAAAAAGATATGAGGCACAATAAATGATTACAAGTACTAATGAAATTGAAACCTAACTTTTTCTCTAAATAGTATAATTGATGGTATATGACATATAATGGTTTTTCCAGGAAAATTAAATCTTTAGTAATTGTCATTGAATTACTTAAATTCAAAAAATAAAATACATAAATATTTTCAAAACAAGCAATTATCTTATATCCTATTAATACTGAAACTTTAGTACATTGCATCGATGCTTGAAATCGCCAATACCAAAATTTTAGCGTCTAATATCGTTTCTTTCAAAGATCAATCAATACCAATTGTTTACAACTATCATATGCTAATTGGACAAAAAAAAACACCTTAAATAAATTCTGCTTGTTTTTTTGTCTCAACAAATTATTGAAACTTTCTATAAATTATACTAAAAGATAGAGAATGAGAAACTGAATCAACTCAAGTTTTATAAAGTCAACATGACTGAAGAATGACTATTTTGAATAGTCTACTATGCCTATTTGATAACAGTTTATTACCTGATAAGATTTTAGAATAAAGAGAGTATCAAGCTAAATTTTATGTATGTTATGCAACTATAAATGGTATGTTCAGGATGAAACAGAGTTCAAATCTCTCTCATACATAATGGCTTTGAATGATTTTTCAATACAAAAAAGGAAATATTTTTATTGATTTTCATTGTCATGATAAATTTCAAAGCCGAATAAATACGACATTCAGAATTAGCGTCAGAAGCTAGATTGAGTCATATACATTTTCTAGAATTTTTTCCCGCGAAAAATGCATCTGTGGTTTCTGATGCTTGTATTTCATTAAAATATTGCCCCGTAATTTCACAAAGATCAGTTTTTCGTGAGAAAAAAATTATTTGACTCAATGTAGTTTTTAATGCTAATTCTGAATGTCGAATTTATTCGGCTTTGAAATTTATCATGACAATGAAAATCAATAAAAATATTTCTTTTTTTGTATTGAAAAATCATTCAAAGCCATTATTTATGAGAGAGATATGAACTATGTTTTATCCTGAACATACCATTTATAGTTGCATAACATACATAAAATTTAGCTTGATACTCTCTTTATTCTAAAATCTTAACAGGTACTAAACTGTTATACACTAGGCATAGTGG